ATCTCACCCAGGAGGGTATCTGTCTGATGGAAATGTTCACCCCACAGGCCTGTCTGTTGTTTGGCTGGAGGCCACAGGAGTGGGTTCAGTTCCAGACCTGACGGGCAGCCAGGGGCCATGGTCTCGGGTCTCACCAGGCTCTTAGCCGACTGCAAACGTGATTTTGGGTTTTGTTCCACGTTGTTTTCCCATTCTGCATCCAGGAACTCTGGTATCAGTTCCCCTCCTAGTGGTTGACAGTGGTAGCCAGGCACCATCTAGTTCTGGTTTCGTGGTCATATAGGCTGAGGATCACATGGTCTCCCAGTCCCTTGGACTAATGGTTTCCGTGAGTCTTTGGTTTTCCTCATTATTCCTTGCTGTGGACGAGGAGAGACCCATCATTGCACCTACATGGCTGTTTGCAAGCTTCAAAGACCCCCAGTTGCTACTCACAAGAGGTCGTAGAACAATGTTTTTGTGTGATATGTTACGGACACAGGGCGTTTTTGAACTTAAGTACAATTCCAGCTAAACTTGCTTTTTCCCCTCCTTCCTGCCTGATTTGATTCTTTGATGAGTTCCCTTTGTCTCAGAACACTGTTAGGAATTTCTCTCACAGGAATTTCAGGCCAACACCTTCTCCGTTTTTCTCCTCTCTTCCTACTGCTACTCCGGAGCCCTTTTTGCTAGTTTTCCTTCAGCTACCTGGAAACCAGGGGTCCACACTTGTTAGGGTGATGGACCCCTTCCCACGAAACCCAAACCTGTGGCTGTCCAGTTGCTTCTGACTCACGGCAGCCGCACGTGTGTCAAGGAGAATTGGGCGGCGATCTTTCACAAGTACATCCCCGGGTCTTCTTCCGGAAGCCTCTGGACGGTCTCAGGCCACAGGCCGGCACTTCACTGTTGGTGCCTCGAAGACTGTAAACGCTGACAATGAAACGCTAAGGGTTACAAAATAAAGTTTTGTATCAAAATGAAGTTCTCAGGATTAGTATGAAACTGTGTTACAAAGAGATGTGTCTTCATTCACATATTGATTCAAAAGACCTAATGGTGGGTCTAAAAGGAGCCCTGTTGGCTGGGCTGCTAAAGGTCGGCAGTTGAAACCCACCAGCGGTTCCACAGGAGAAAGATGAGGCAGTCTGTTTCTGTAAAGATTGACAGCCTTGGAGACCCTGTGGGGCAGTTCCACTCTGTCCTCTAGGGGCGCTGTGGGTCAGAATCAACTCCACGCAGTGGGTGTGGTTTGGGCTTTGCTTCTGTAAAGATCGACAGCCTTGGAGACCCTGTGGTGCAGTTCCACTCTGGCCTCTAGGGGCGCTGTGGGTCAGAATGGACTCCACGGCAGTGGGTGTGGTTTGGGCTTTGCTTCTGTAAAGATTCCAGCCTTGGAAGCTCTATGGTGCAGTTCCACTATGTCTTCTAGGGGCGCTGTGAGTAGGAATGGATTCCACGGCAGTGAGTTTGTTTTTTGCTTATATAATGAACAAATTGTGTTTTACACTTTACTTCGTTAAAGATTTTTTTTTTTTTTCTTTTCTGAATTTAGAATTACATCTTAGTGGTTCCATCAGAGGGCAGTGATGTCTTATGGTGTTAGGTTCAGTTCCATAAAGACCTTTGTAGTAATTGGGTAAGTTAAACTAAGAACTGAGGTAGGTTATTCTTTTGGCTAATATATTTGTCCCACCACCTGTCTATTGGTGTGTCACACTCTGGTGGCTTGTGGGTTGCTGTGATCCTGGAAACCGTGCCACTGGTATTTCAAATACAGGGTCCCCCATGGTGGGCAGGTTCCAGCATTGCTTCTAGACTAAGAGAGACTAGGGAAAAGAGGCATGGTAACCTACTTCCAAAAAGTAGCCGATGAAATCCCTTCTTGCAGATCACATCCAAACATTGTTCAACTCACTTGCTTTGGACTCCTTCAAAAAATGTTATTAAAAGAAAAAAATCTCTGGAGGAAGACATCGTGTCGGGTGAGGAAGAGGATGGGCATGGGTGAGGGAGCCCCTCAGTGCAATATATTAGTCCAAGAATTGTAACAACAGACCCACGCTGACAACCGGGAGAACCAGAGATGGTTTCTTGTTTTTGTTTGTAGTGTCACTCTCAGTGTTGTCAACTGGACAGCAGCTGTCTCTCTCTCCATCTATTTACAGGCACACCTCGGAGATATTGCAGGTTCAGTACCAGACCACCGCAACAAAGCGAGAATTGCCAAAAAGCAAGTCACACGAATTTTGGGGCTTCCCAGGGCATGTAAAAGTTATGTTTACACTCTCCTGTTGCCTATTAAATGTGCAATAGCGTGATGAATGAAAAAGATAAAGATTGAAATATTGTGAAAATGACCGAAATAGGACACGAGACATGAAGTGAGCACAGGCTCTTAGGCAAATGGCGCCCATAGACTTGTGGGATGCAGGGTTGCCACAAACCTTAAATTTGCAAAAAAAAAAAAAACAACTGCCCTCTCTGTGAAGCACAGTAAAGTGAAGTCAGAAAGAATGAGGTCTGCCCGTATATGATTTATCAAACTTTGATCAAAGTATGTGTGTAATTAAGTGCGTTGGATATGAGTTACACTTTGACAGACTCGATAACAAAGGGTAGCCACCCTCCACCCAGGCTTCCTGAAGACTGGCTGTTGTAATGTCAGGTGTTATCAAGTCCATTTCAATCCATAGCGACCCCATGCGACAGAGAACTGCTCAATGGGGTATTCTAGGCTCCATCCTTTTGAGGGCTGCAATGACGGACTCAGGTATAGCAAGGATTGTGAGGCTAGCGCTGTTGAGCCCATGTTCGGAAAGGAATGTCGACGCGAGGAAGCCACCACTAACACGATAATGCAAAAGCAAAAGGAAAGTTTATTTGCTAGCTCGAGCTAGGGTCCCTGCTCTTGCCAACGTAGTGGCCTAAGCAAAAGACCTCGTGCTCCTTTACTATCACATTTTTATAGAAAAATACAGGGTGGAGTAGCACCAGGGCAAAGGGGTACAGATGATTGGTTGTTGCTAAGGGGCATAGGGCAGGGATCTGAGATGTTGGGGGACGTGTTGGAATCCCCCGGCTTCAAAGTCTACCTAGGGAATTATTATCTAGGGAGGATGCAGAGCCCTGATACGTGGGAGACTTCAGGAGCCAGGTAAATCTCTGATACGCGCTGAATCCGGAGGAAATCTCTGATACGTGCTGAATCCGGAGGGTAGATAAAAGCCCTGAGGCATGGGGAGTGTTAGAATCCCCGACACTAAAAGACTTCTGGTTAAAGATATACCTGGAGGCCATTAGGACTCAGGCCTCACAGCGCAAGACCAGGCAGTGTTTCGTTCTGTTCTACACAGGGTCTCTGTAAGTCAGAGCTGATTCAACGGTACCTAACAACAATAACAACTGTCTTTTGAGAACAAATTTCCAGGTCTTTCTCCCATGCCGCTGGCGGGGGGTGGTTGGAACCTCCAACCTTTTTGCTTCGCAGGTGAGCACTTAACCATTGTGCCACCAGGGCTCTTTGAAGGTTGGCGACCTGTTGCCCTCCATTCTGACTCATAGCAACCCTATAGGACAGAGTAGAACTGCCCCATAGTGTTTCTAGGGCTATAAATCTTTAAGAAAGGGGACTGCCACATCTTTCTCCCGCAGTGTGGCTGGTGGGTTCAAACTGCACACCTTTCCGTTAGCAACCTAATGGTTTAACCACTGCACCACCAGAGCTCTTTCAAGGTTTGCTATAAGCATCTATTAATGAATCCCTGTTGGTAAGCTTGATTTGTATGTATTTTGGCACAGCTCCAAAGTGGTAAAGAACTTGGTTTGAAG